GGGGGGGCAGGGCCCAAGTTGTATCATCTAAATCATCTCTGTAGTTTAAAAGCAATTACAAAAACCTTCTCTGGACCGGTCTGTTTTTGCAGTCTGCGTCTCACCTCTATGCCGAGGCTTGAAGCTGCAGCAGCTGCAAAGCCACTTCCTTGTCCAAGCAATGACAACGCTTCGGGGAAGAAGAGCAAACAAATGGAAGTAACACCATCTTAAATCAGTACGACGATCCTCATCCAGAACTACCTCCTCTCTATAAAGTCAATTAAGTCAAGTTCAAACCATGCAAACCGCTTCAAGAATCTGGACTCAAACATCTCGATATAAAACAGTCTTCTTGAGATGGAAAAACAGAAAGGTATATAAGGACCCCTTTTATCATAGCACAGCCTTTAAAGGAGCCTTTTTGAAAGGGCCCTTGCCTTCCTGTCTTTCCATCACTTCGCCTTCTTTTCACACACGACATTCCTTGATGCATTTGTCTGACAGACTTGGAAAGCATGTCATCCAAAAAGGTTCAGCTCCTGCAAGTCCACCGGCCCAACCCCCGGCTGCAGTGGCCACAGCTGTTGTGGTGTCTCCATCATCCAGCAGGCTTCCAGCTATCGCCTGCAAGCAAACCCTGAACTGGAGCCTTTTCTGCACTTTTCCCACAAGTTGCAACTCGCGACAAAGTATAAGTCAAAATTAAGGATGTCCTGTGCCTGTGTATTTCCAGAAATGCAATCCAACAGCTGGTGCAACTTGTGCATAGCCCGTCAGCAATACTATGTTGGCTACGACTACGAGCGAAGCATCCTACATCTTTGCGTGTTTCAAGGTTCCCAGCCCAAATCAAATACACATAGCATGTTTTGCAATGGTTTGCTCAACCGCTTGATTGCGACCGTCCAAAAGATAGCCCGGCCCACAAAGCCTCCAAGGTTTGCCCAGCTGGTGCCTTACCACCAATAGTTTGTCTAATGCTTCTTTTCACTCCGATACAAGCCAAGACACTTGCAGATGCCACAGCTCCTGCCGCTTTGCCCAGCCGAAGCGCCTACCATAAAACTGTAGCAAGACTCCCTCATTTGCTTGATGTAATTCAAGATATACATGTATATACATATGTAACGTCTCATTATTTCTCCAGCACACCAGCCTTCACTAAGCGAATACCACGAAGGACTACTCGTCCTTGCCTCATGACCTTCAAAGCTCATTGCCGATTAATCGGGTAATCTCGCTCCTTATCTCTGCAAATCGCAAATAATTGTAGCCTTTCACAGCCAAGATGCAGCTCCTCCGGCCAAAACCTGATCATGTGAAGACTCAGCATTAATAGTGTTCAAGTCTCTGCAGATGTTGTATGCTATTTCTGTTCGTCAAGAAGCTGCATTGAGAAGCTGTGGAGGCACCGTACTTCCTTCTGCCTTGCCAAGCGATCGCCGTTAGCGTAAGTATCTGAGGATAGATTCTTTTGGTGCAGACTGAAGAGTCTATGTTTGTGGACCTTTGAGCTCAACTGTGTTGCCTGCTGCAAGTGACAAACGCGATACAAAGCTCTCTCACGCTCTTTTGCAAAACTACTACGATACAACCAAACCACAGGTACAACTTGTTGTCAGGCTTGAGACGTGCTGCTGACTTGCTCGAAAGCCAACCAAATCAATCACGCAGTGCTTGCTTTCAGCAAGTCTGCATTCAAAGTCTTAAAATCATGAAGATCACCCTAGGTTGAGCAAACCAAGCACTTGAATCTGAGCAGCCGAATTCAGGAGCAAGCCGCCTGGCAGGGCAAATTGAAGAAGGACAAACACATGAAGTCTCTTCAAACAAATCGTGACGGATGAATGAGCTCACGTCTCTCCGCGTGTACTTCCATGTTCACAAGTCGTTCTGAAGATTGCAGTCAAGCGACCATGGAAAAAACCTTCAAGCCAAAGTACCTGTAACCTCGACAGTGAAAAGGCATTGGTCAAGACTGAACGCATTGTCAACAAAAGGATACAAAAGGCATCAAATGCACTGGTATGTAAGTTCTAACACTATCATACTGAACTGGGGATTGGTCTTGTCGTGCCCACTTCTCTGGTGGTCTTCCAAATATCTCCGGATGTAGTGTGCGTTACCTGAGATCAGCAGAACAGTCCGGAGCTCGGTATACCCACTGGCAACTCTTTGAGCTCGGGTACAAATGTCATCATGACTGGACATCACCTTAGCGATTGCGCAAAATAATTACACATCATTTAGCAAACTCCTCTCAGATGTGCAAGGAGAATTATATAATGCAAAGTAAAATAGTCTCCGTTCACTGGCTTTTCCTGGCCGGGACGCCACCAAGGAATTTGGCGGTAAGTCTTCTTTCCAAACAACATTCTGATGCCAATAAAAGTGACCTTGGATGTGTAACATGGCTCTGAGAAGCCTCACACCATCTTGAGAAAATTCATTTATGTGATAATATGTGATAATATTTCGAATCCAACGAATTGATCCATCGCCGCATTGTACACTAACTGATTCGTGCGAGGGGCGCATCAAGACATGAGCTGCAAAAAGCTCCCACCGGACCTCAGAATTGAACACAGAAGGACTTTCTGAGGCAATAGAGCTCGGCTTGGCAGTTGAGTGACTTCTGCATACTTTTATGCCTTTCTATTCGCCGAAGTGCAAAGTTTGCGACAACTTTTAGCATTGGGTTGTCTGGATGCCTGCATCAATATTTGGTGCACTGACATTCTGTCTCATGCCAATCTACCCGCCTGTAGAGAAAATTGTATGCAACATCAGGTTGGGCAAGCAGCAAAGCAACTGGATCTAGCATCACAGTCTTCGCCACAATGTCCCTCCTTCCAATTCAGTTCAAGTGGTGACGGCGACAGCTCAGCTTTATTTATTGGACCAAACTTCTCTGTGTTGTCCTGAACCGTAGCACCCAGCTCATCACAAAAGTCCCATAAGAGTGAGCGAGGAAAACGGCCTCAAAAGACTTCAGAAAAAAAGAATCCTCTGGACACATCCGTTTCGTCCGCCTTGTCATGTCCATGCGCTTTTAGCATTTGACACATTGCATCAGCCATTTCCTGTGCAATACATCGTTTTGCCACGCAGCATCAAAATCATGCTTTGCGGCAATCATTCACCATTGACGGTCTCTGAACTTCACATCTATATGATCAATCTGCTTGCAGTCCTGTGGTGGAAGCACTTCTTCAGAACAAGCCTTCACAGCCAGCAAGAAGTTGGGCAAAACGATTCACGACGTTTAAGCAAGCGACAAGGGGGACACCATAAAATGGGATGCCAAAGGAGGCATCCTGCAAGCTATGAAACGGGGGAGTTCAAGTTGATTTATGTCTTGGATATGTTCTGCCTGATGTTAGACGGTAGCCGTCTTGCGCCGATGCTCACGATGTTTCCTTCAGTATCAACCTTTCCAACCGAAATCCAATGTGATAAAGCCCTACTGCAGCGGCACATTTTCATAGTCTTTCGCCTCTGTCGCACCATTGGCCAGCTTGTGTGGGGATTTTGACACAGCATCTTGGGGACTCTTTGTGAGGATGGCGTAACGCCAGTATTAGCAGCCATGCTGATATGGTTAGCGTTGAATAAGCCACTGCAAAACTTAATCTTAGATCGACTTGATCCACTTCTTTCTTGTTGCCGCATTGACTGATTTCCAAAGAGCTTTGATGCATCCAAAGCAGTCGATTGCTCTGTGAACCTTTGGCTTTTGAAATTCTTTGATAGCTATATATGGAAGGCCAACATCAACAAGCTCAAATAACACTCTAGGCAGAACTACTTCGCGATGATATCAACCTTGTATTTCCCTGAGGCAGCTAAAGCCCGTCTTGCAGCTGTTGTGTTGTCTGTGAGAGACGTTCACGCTAGCCGACTGGGTGCAATATCAACCGTTTTAGGGAGGGAACCTACAACTTCCGGACAGCACTCAGTCATTCATGCCCTCTGGCCCTATGGCGGCAAACGGGGGGAACCTCTCTCATCAACAAACCACATGGAAACCAAGTATAAAACAGCTTTCGTGACACTGCACGTGCATCAAATGTCCAAAAACAAAGGCCGGCCTGTGAGATTTCTGGCAATTCGATCACCTGAACTTTAACAAACAAATGCTGAAGTGGTTAGTTACCCATCCGAGGGTGGGGCGAAGCATTCTCGAGTTCTTCCAAGCATTCCTTAGAATCGAAACTTGTTGAACTCACACAGTTCACCACGTTGCCAAGTGGCAAGGACCGCCATGCAAGGGTTGCTGGTTTGCAAGGGCTCTAAAATACAACTTATGTCAGCAAAGCTTAGTCTAAGTGCCCAACGAATGAATCTGAGATAAGGTGTGATTCCAACACCAAGGCCATGAATTAGAACTACCTTGGCCGTCGGCTGCGGCTCTGTACAAAAAATGGTCGGACAGGTGCCTCATCTAACCCAGACTTCCAAGGGGCTGTTCTGTGTGCAGCCATGCTGCTGGTGAGTCTTGAGATGGCGGCACGGGTTTACCGCCCTCCACGAGTAACCTCCGCAACATCCGAAACCTACAAGTGATATAAGGCTATAACCAACCTAGCGATGGCCTCCAGCCTAATAGCGATGGGTAAAACTGTATAAGGCTTTACAGTTCATTGAGCATTCAAGTACGCAAATGTGTGCACACCCGTGACATGATCAACCAAGTGAGATGGTTGCTCTGCTTCAAAGCCGGGCATACCACCCTGGATAGGCTGGAGCAGGTCGGTGAAAATATGAAAGTCGACCTGGACAGCCGGCTTTGCAGTGCAGTGTAGCAGCACGTGGGTCATCAAGTTGATTCAAATTGGCCTGCACTACACCTTGTGAAACCCATCCTCAGTGTCAAGCAGTGCAAGCAGTTGTCGGACATTTTGTGCTTTGGTTCTTGTACCCAGTGTTGTGCTACTGAGGAGCAGTTGCATGGCTGATCGTGTGGCAATGCAAAGGCCCTTAATTGCAGCCTCAGGCTTCATTCAGGCTTCATGGACTGTTCCAGTAGAAATGCTGAGCGTAGCTAACACTTTGAGGCAAAGGCATAGTACCACAAAGGATGGTACCAAGCCTATCCGCGCAAACGAGCACTCGTGACAAGTCGTGACTCATGGCCTGGGACCTCTCTAATCCTTGGATGCGTTTCCATTGTAAGACTCCAAAGAGTCGCCACATCACACCTTACAATATTTACCTGTGGTGAGAGGGATACTGGGATATATTGTGCATCTTCTGCCGGCTTGTCAAACTACTGAGGCACTTGGCCTGAATGGGGTCGAAATTGATGCGCATGGGCAGAACTCCCGGAGTGTAGCCTTGATAAGGTCATGAGCAGTGTCACAGTTCAGTCACGGTTTCAATACTCCGCAATAAGCACTTGCTGCAATCATCAAAGGTTCCTCTCTTCTTTCTCTGCAAAGACCTCAGCTAGCTGAGTTCAACGCCTTCATCAAAGCACCAGTTGTACCGCTTCTCGCATTCCTGGAAGACAAACAAAACCAGCTTTATGGGCTGACTTCTTCTTTCAAATAAATAACACTGACCAAAGTCGTTTGATCAGGTCAACAGCTTCCAATGTCCTTGACCATGTCTTCCAGCTCAGTCCTCTCCGCTTCATCGAGCTCCGAAGCATACTTGCTGTAGAATGCCCATGCGAAGAATCTCAATCGAACAATTGATACGGGAAGACCAAACACAAGAGTCAATAGATGTCTTAACATCTGTGTTTTTTTTGCCCGCGGCCCTGCCTTCTTGCTAAATTAAGTAGGCGCCTACTTAATCAAACAGGGAGGTAAGCTACTAGCAATAGGAAACTCCTAGCTAGGACGCAGGATAGCTCACGGTTCTTCAAGGAAGCTCCCCCGCAGCCCTTAAGGCGGCGGCGGGGAGCTTCCTTGAAGAAGCGCTCGCACTAATGATTTGGTTCCTAGAATTTATGGGCCGCGACTTAATTTTGTTTTTTTTGGTTTTTTTATTTTTCGTGTTTCGTGGCAGGTGCAGTACTTTGTGGACCTTGCAATGCATATTTCGTGGCAGGCACAGGACTTTGTGGATGTGGAAGTGCAGAGTTGGTGGCAGGTGCAGGACTTTCCTCGGCATCAATATCGAGCCATGCTGCCGGGTTCTGACCGGTTTCAACACGATGGCTGAGTTCCTCAAGCGTCTGGAGCCGACCCTCGTAGGTCGTAGGTGTCACGGCTAATGTCCAGCTCTGCAGCGATCTTCTCCTGCTCTTCTTCCATGATTTCACGGCGCTGCTGGAATCTTTTCAGCCGTGGCGTCATTCGCAACGAAAATCTCCGAAAGGTCTGGATCATCTTGATCACCTTCGGGCTCGTCGTCGATGACGGCCATGTCCGCCTCGGTAATCGGTGCAGCTCTGTTTGGCTGCTCCGCAGCAACGTCC